AGCCGGGGGGCCCTCCGACAGGGGTGCCCGGGCAGCAGCTGCAGATGCAGAACCCCCTGTACCCGGTGACCGAGAACTCCTACGGCGCCTACGCCATCCTGCTGTTGGCCCTGGTGGCGTTCGCCGTGGGCATCGTGGGCAACCTGGCGGTCATGTGCGTGGTGGGGCACAGCTACTACCTGAAGAGCGCCTGGAACGCCATCCTGGCCAGCCTGGCGCTCTGGGACTTCCTGGTCCTCTTCTTCTGCCTGCCCGTCGTCATCTTCAATGAGCTCTCCAAGCAGCGGCTGCTGGGGGACGCGTCCTGCCGGGCCGTGCCCTTCTTGGAGGTGAGCGTCCATCCGGGGGGGCCGCTAGCAGTGGGAGGTGGGGGCGCGCGACCCCGCGACCCAGGGCCTGAGTACAGTCTTGCTGCGTCTCCTGCAAACGGGGCCAGGGGACACATAGGGAACTGGCTGTGGGTGGCTTGTGGGGTTGGGGTGCAGGGCCTGGGTGCAGGGCAGCCGGGTGTCCCCCCAGGGAGCTGCTCAGGGCGGCTGTCCCTGCTCTGTATCCTGTGCTGCCCCCTGCCGTCTCTCCACCTCGGGCACCGCTCCCCCTCTCTGTCCTTAGCGTGTCTTTCTCTCCCGTGTGCCCGCCCCCTGCCAATGCCCAAACCCGGGCATGCGCCCTGACCGGGAATCAAACCGTGACCTCCCGGTTCATAGGTCAATGCCCAACCACTGAGCCACACCAGCCGGGCTCCATTGATTTTTAGAGACAGTAGGAAGGGATGGGGGGGGAGAGACACACGGATGTGAGAGACACACAGTCATTGGTGTGTTGCCTCCCCCACAAGCCCTGACCGGGGCCGAGGATCGAACCTGCGACCCAGGTACGCGTGTCCTTGACCGGGAACCAAACCCATGACCTTTGGGTGCGCGGGCCGATGCCCTAACCATTGACCAACACCAGCCAGGACTGATGAATTCTTGAAGGATTGAGTGGTGCTTAGGAGAAAGTGCTTAGAATGAGAAGAATTCAATGGATGCTGGTTTTTCCTGGGAGCGGCCTGGGGAGGGGGGCACACAGGTGGCTGGCTGGTCCCAGACTTCCCGGCCCTACCCCAGGGTGGGTCTCCGCACACCTGGGGGCTGTAGTGGGGAGGAGGGGCTCTGGTATTCGGAGACCCACCCTGACCCACCCTCTGGCCCCAGGCCTCCTCGCTACCCTCTACCCCTCTTAGAGGGCAGCGGTCACCCCTGTAGGAAGGGTGGTCGGTGGAAGTCCAGGACCAAGTTCAAGGCCCCGGAACCCTTATCTGGGAGGGGGCGGTCTCAGGAATGGCTCTTGAGAGATCCCGGGAGAGGCAGGGGGAGGAGAGAGCGGGTGAGGCCGCCTGCAGGGGGTCAGCACGGCTCACCCAGGATGCCCGGCGGCCATGCCAATCAGGGGGGGACCGCGTCCCCGAGCTGGAGGGGCCGAGCGTGGCCGGAGGCACCGAGCGCAGTCCTGTGTGGTCCTTGTCCTCTGGCCGCTGGAGGCCCCGCCGCCTTTCTTCTCCCAGGCCCGCTCCCCGGCGGCCCTGGCGGCTTCCTCTCAGCTCTCAGGCGTTTTCCTGTCGGCTCAGTGGGTGCCCACGGGGAGGGTGGCGGGTTCGTGACCCCTCACGGCCAAGCCCGGCTGCTCCGGACACGGCCAGGACAGGGCCAGGGTGAGCGTGTGAGTGTGTGTTTGTGAGCGTGTGCGAGGCGTGTTCCCCGAGACCATGTGTTCGCATGTAACGGGGGCAGAACTAAGACCTCATAACCTGCAAAGACCAGGACTGCTGAGCCCCTGTGTGGCCACACTCACCCCCCCGCCCCCCCACCCCCCGTGGGGCCTCAGCTCTACCCTCCAAGGTCTGGCCTGACAAGCAATTTCCTCTTCTTCTTCTTCTTTTAAATATATTTTTATTGATGTCAGAGAGGAAGGGAGAGGGAGAGAGAGATAAACATCAATGAGGAGAGAGCATCACGGATCGGCTGCCTCCTGCGCGCCCCACACTGGGGATCAAGCCTGCAACCCGGGCCTGTGCCCTGACGGGAATCGGACCGTGACCTCCTGGTTCCTAGGTCGATGCCCATCCCCTGAGCCACGCCGGCCAGGCAGGCGCAGTTCCCTTCTCTGAAGGTGGCTGGTTGCTGTGAGGACCTGATGACCGAGGGGAGGTGCCTGGCGAGTACAAAATGCTCCACGCAGCCAAGGCCGGTGTGGTCCAGTGGATAGAGCACTGGCCTGGGGACCAAAGGGTGCCGGGTTCGAATCCGGTCAAGGGCCCCTACCTCGGTTGCAGGCTTCTTCCCAGCCCGGGCCCTGGTCGGGGCTCGTGCAGGAGGCAACCCACCGATGTGTTTCTCTCACATCGATGCTTCTCTCTGTCTCTCCCTCTCTCTTCCCCTCGCCCTAAAAACCAGTGGAGAAATATTCCCGGGGGGAGGATGAACAACAAAAAAAACCCTGGTCTGACCGTGGCTTCCCTCTCCTCCCGTCTCCGCCCAGGTCTCCTCTCTGGGGGTCACCACCTTCAGCCTCTGCGCCCTGGGCATCGACCGCTTCCACGCGGCCACCAGCACGCTGCCCAAGGTGCGGCCCGTCGAGCGGTGCCAGTCCATCCTGGCCAAGCTGGCCGTCATCTGGGT